ACAATGCATACGTTCTGAGCGTCGCCTACTGTTCCAGAGCATGTCATTCCCGCTGGCATCTGTACTTCTACCGGAAAGTCCATCACGGCCGCGGCTGACAGTCCTCCAATACCGATTCCCGGCACATTTTGTGTTACTTCGGCCGATTTGAATGCCGCTGGGTCAGTTCCACCCGAAGTGGCGTCAACCATGGCCGTTAATGGCCCGGCTCCGTCTTGGTTGATTTGGTGGTAGGTCATCTTGACCTTGCCGTCGTCCGAGCAAGTCGGCATGCCGCTGGATGCTCCAGCTCCAGCTGCAGCCTTGACACCAGTCTCCAAGGTGCCCTTAGGAGTCTTGGTTCCTCCGTTGGCTGCACGCTCTCCAAGACTTCGACGAAGGACGTTGGCTGCGTGAACTTCCCGTGCTTCCTTTGTCGCCGTAGCATTGCCGCCGCCTCCCATGAACATGGCCATCATCTTGCTGGCGTCGACGGGACCACCGCCCTGAGTGCGACCAAGTGCAGTGGCCTTGTTGGTGCCCATCTCACGTTTACGGATGATAGAAGTATCAGCCTCAGATCCGCAGCGAGGACTGGCGCAATCACGCGGCGTGCCGTCGGCAACTGTAGTATTCGTGTCAGAAGCGACTCAAAGTGGGTGTACGACAGGGACAAAGACATAAACATGGATATGGATAGGGGCTTGGGCAGGGACAGTGACAGTGACAAGGTCAAGGTCAAGGTCAATGTCAACAACGATGACAGGGATAGGGATCGTGGCGAGTCACATACCTGAGAGACCCGGCATAGTAACGTCATTGGCGCCAACGACTGAATCAACCACTCCGTGGGTAAAGACACTAGTAACTGCGAAAGCAGCAATGAGAATAGCTGATGAGTACTGCATATTGATAGAGGTAATTTATGTCGAAATAAACGGGATAAGATGGTTCAATTTTTATTTGACTCCTTGGATTTGTTGATATCTGGGATATACTTGAAAGACTTGATAGATTCGGTTTATTTGTTGATGTTGTTTTGATGTTGTTTTGGTCTTGTGTTGATCTGTGATTATTAAGTAATTTGGTTTGATATTAACAGCACCGGGCCGGGAAGTAAGAAGAATATTTGGGAAATTAAAAACGAAACCGAAAACTAAATAGAACTGAAATGTCAATGTAGATGATGATAATGAGTCTATAATTTCCGTTCCTCCATCGTTCTTATATAACAAAAAATTGAATATGATTGCCAGAAATGAGAGGCTGCTATGCGTAGCTCTTTCCATCATTTGGGCATCCACTTTTGAGTAGTCATGTTCACATAAAACATCTTACGAATCACTGTAGACAGTCGTTTTGCGATGACGAATGGATTGCTGTAAAATGGTTTGTAGCATGAAATCCGTAGATGGAAGAGTCATGAGTAGACATAAACGAAGCGGAAGTTCAAACAAGTCCCGAAAGAGATGCAAGGGGTATAAGATGAAGCAAGTCATATGACGTCCATAAGTTTGCAATATCTGAAGTGAGGGTAGACGTGATACAAATGTACGGAACATGTAATGAATATATTATGAACATATTATGAACATATTATGAAAGCGAAACTTTCGCTTCCGAGTATGTGTGTGTGTTTATTGTACTACTTGAGTCATAGACTATGTAGCACACTGGGCTCCTCATTTTTGAGTATCTAGTATCGGGTATCGAGGAGTTTTTTCACAAATCAGTCTACGAGACTTCAACTCCATGTTTGACGCTCAGATTCCCCCTCTCTCCCCTCCCCCCAGCAGAAATGGAGTTAGCAACCGATATTCTCTTGGTACGTAAATAATTGGTAGGTGTCAATGAGATACCGCAAAAGTCATGTTCCAGGCGTAACTCTCCTTTTTCATAGATTTGATATGCAAAGCTCTCATGAATTAAGCTACTTGTCTCATCTGAAATTCAATCGATCCCAGCATCGATGGTACGATCGCTTGAAGGATCAACACTGAGCAGCGGTTTATCTCTCACGAGAAAGAACGGATCCATCTAGAAATGATGTTCCAAATGTTGGATTGAGACTGCAACCCCTGAAGATGATTCATGGTTACCTTGAATACTGTAAAATCTGATTCGAATCTTAAAAGACTGTATACCAAGTAATCTAGACTACTCGGGAAAAATGACTTGGTGATTAGCAGCGAATTCCCATTCCTTTTATCGCTTAAGTGCATTCAAAGTTTTAGCTATGGCTCAGGATCTCGGCTGGGGGACTATTCTCAATACCTGTCAGTGGTGTCCCCTGCGAAACTTGAGCTCTCACTATAGAGTCTGCAGAGTCATGATTGAGTAACAAAGTACTCATTTCGATGAAGACTCCCATTCGCTTCTACGGTCTGTATCGTCTTAATCCCTCAATACATTCCCCTATCACTATTATCATGAAGCTAACCACGATCAGATTAGATGGTAGGGTCGTAGCCCTACTCATCGACAACCTTTGATCATGGAGGAAAAGCCATCCGATGAGTTTCCGGAGCGTAACTAGTACCCGATACGGAGATGGCGGAATTGGATCAAGTCGGCCACGAATGTTACAAAGAAGGGAGATATAGATGAATATGCGCACCTTCTATGGTCCTGGTGTCTAGGCCTCGCCTGGCTGGGTTGCAGGTCTTTTGAGACTTTTACTCGCCAACGCAGCTTCCATTACCACCATTTTTTAGTTTTGGATAGAAGTTTTCGTGGAAAAGGTGGCTGATTTGCATGGGTAAACATTGAGCTTCATGGCTATTCATCACAAGCAATATATCAATGATTTTACAAGTGAAAAAAGAGGATAGGAGCAATGTATAAGGTGTGGCCTGGGTCAGAGGGGAGTCTAATGTGCTAGATAGTCATAGACTCAAATAGTACAATAAACACACACACACACAGGATCACAGCTATGCATACACGTAGGTTGAAATTTTTAATACTAGATACACCCGCATGCTGGACTTCATTCGCATGTACCATTTTGTGGCATGTCTGCTGACATAAACAGTCGTCCCTTCTCCGCAGGTTCCCACCAATGAGAGCCTAGAAAACCTTTGATTATGTAGGCACGCCTCAATCGTCCATGTACACCTGCATCGTGATAAAACTAATTGTGTTTATCTAGATTTAAACCACCGATCTACTGTCTCAACCGGGATGTGTGTCCAAACAACCAAGAATATAGGGTTGGATGGTGCAGGAATGTACCATTCGGGTTGTCCGCCCAAGTAGATTCTGGGTAGCTTTTTTATATGTTTTTTAATCCTTTGTAGTGGATCCAGCCTATACTAGCTATGCCACACTTAGCCACCAATGAACGAGTCAAATGCCAAATGGCAACTCTCTATCACAAAGGTGTTCTCCCGATCTCTTCTTCCACACATTTGACGCATAGCATCTCCTACTCTTGCCCTCCACCTCGCAAGGTGAGCCGGGCATTTGGACGCTGGCTCTAGTGGGAGCGGCCCTCCTTCCATTCTGGGTAGCTTGAACACCTATCACATTCGAGACAGGAGAAGATAAGAAGATGAGAATTTTTATTACAGGCCCTTCTGAGTCTAAGACAATGAAGGGCTTGAGACAGGAGAAAGCTTGTTCGAATCCAGTAAAATCTACAGACCACTCTCTCTCGCGGTGGTTTTATATTTGTAGGTTGATGAAAGCACATTCGGATAACTAAAGGGTTTCCACGCTTTTCCCTGTGGTGGGTATGCACGGAAGAGGTTATACGTCGTAGGGGTCAACCTCAAGTGGTATCTGCAAGTGAAATATGAGTGTGAGTGTTCTAAACGTCAAATTGAGTCATCCTACTCAAAGTACATGTCTTCCAATAAAAGCCTGTATGGGACTCAAGGCGCCAAATTGGTACAATTGAATATTTTATTTATCCAGAATATTAATAGAAGGCCGACCATGACGACACACCACCGCACTATCCACCCTTAGCAGTATTTCCAGTGTCGCCTCCATTCGCACAGATCTGTCTGTGTAGGAGCCAATGCGTCGGTTAACTTTATCTACACTGCTCTTGTGGGTCCAGAAGATCCGGATCATAGTACCCCCGTGCAAAATCCGAAATAACTGTTGCACACACCAGCTCTGTAGATTCATTTCACATTCTGTAATAGTAGCTTTTACATACAAAGCAGATATACCATACTGATCACAATAGACCTTTACATACTGATGTACATGTACAATAAGGACCTAGTGATATTGGTATTCAAGAAGCACAGGCTAACCTGCACGAGAGGAGCTCTCGTGCTGTGCGCGGGCATGACGTTAAATACTATAATTAAACAAATAAAAATATGAAGCCGACACACAGATACGGAGAATGGTAAAAGAATAAAGAGGCTGTTTCCATTTACACGTCAATGCTTTCAGTAACTACAAAACGTTGGCAGAGAGAGATTTCGAAAGTGGCACGAAGAGAGTAGGATCCAAAAGTGCTTTTCAAATGTAGTAAATGCCTTGCGATGCCGCAGAGCGGAATGTACATCAGTTTACGGGTGTGATCATGCCTTCTCAGACCCCTAGAGATGCAATGGTAAGATTTTCGTCTAGCCTACTTAATACAACACCACTGATCTAGAAGTTGTTTGGTATTAATTGTTGTTCGTATCCATATCTCCCGCGGGTACAAAATACGTTTAGAAATACTCCATCTTGGTATTAATTCATTTCATCCATAATAATGTCGTACAATTACGAACTGTTCCAATCCCCTATTAACCATAATTCAAGCTATAGCTAAAGAAAGAGCAACTTGACCACATTTTATTTATTTAGTTCTTCCCGAATTACTATAAAGAGCGAGTTAAATCTTTCCAGGAAGAAAAAATAAGAGCTATACAACTTTAACTCCTTCGAGTCGTTGCGATCAGGGACCGCTTTTAAAGCTGTCTTTATATTTTTCTTTAATAGACTTGTTATTCGGCAGAAGCATTATCTGCCCTCAAATATTTGAACTCCTTGCTGTAAATAAAGCATCATTATTCTCGAATAATATTACCGGAATTACTGTTGGGAGATTCAATCTTTCCACTTGTATTTCTGGAAGCTCTGGGTAAACTACTTCCATTTACCAGAGACTGGTTCCTAAGTCCATGACTATTTGCCACAATATTGGACTTTGATGAGCCAGAGATATCTTGATCTCTATTGGTTATTCTGTTTTTGGAATTGGTCGTTGGAGTTTCAGGAAGTGGCCGGTTAGATGTAGCGGCTGCAACTGTGTTGTGTCTTTTGACTGACATCTCATTTTTTGACATACTAATACGAGTGGGATTAGCTGTCGGAAAGGGTTTTGGACCGGTTATAAACAAATGTTGTATAGCATCATTTGGCTTCATACGAGATTCGGGATCCCACTTTAGACATTCCGACAAAAAGTCTAAAAATATGTGATCGTCGCACTTTAGTACTTGTTGGAGAGTTTTTGACGAAGGACGACGTCTTCGACCTTTTGATGAGACGGTAAGGCGTGGTTTGCCGAGTGAGTCAAAGAATAGCTTCCGACGAGTGGATTTCTCAATCAAATGTTTATCAGGAGGACCAAAGACCTCCATGATGTAAGCAAGCTGCTCTTGTTCATTTTCTCCAGGAAATATAGGCACACCACTGTAAAGTTCTGCCATTATACAGCCCAGACTCCACATGTCTATTGGCATTCCATAAGTCATGCCAAGAATTACCTCCGGAGACCGATAAAATCGAGACTGTATGTAAGTGTAGACTTTTTCGTTTTCGAAGCAACTAGAGCCAAAGTCGATGACTTTAATTTCTGAGTGCAAAGGATGTGCGAGTAGAACATTTTCAGGTTTGAGATCACAATGAATGACCTTATGCTTTTGAAGTAACAGCAGACTATTTAGAATCTGCTTCGTGAAACGACGAACGATTTTTAGTGAAAAACCACGGAATGAATTTGACTTTATGAGCTCATACAGGTTCATGTCGAGAAGTTCAGTAGATATGCATAGATGTCCTCTAAAGTAAAAGCTCTGAGTGAAAGTTACCATACTGAATTCACAATTGGAATCCTACCAGATGTTAGCATTATTTTCTGTCCAAAATTTGGAACCTCTGTACACTCACCCATTCTCGAATTTTTTGTAGAATATTAACTTCAACTAGAGCCTGCTGATGAAATCTCTTTTTGTTTCTGATTATTTTCACCGCAACAAGAACACCAGTTTTGTGATCAATACACCTGACAACTTGGCCAAAACTTCCCTTTCCAAGTAGGTCGATAATTTCGTATCGATACGAAAGATGATCACCAGGTATAATACTGTAGTCACCTCGCTCGTCATCATATCCAAAGTTCACAGTATTTACGGATAGTTCACCGACATGCTTATTTGCGTCGGGTGTACCACAGAAATAGACCTCCTTGTAGTCCATGACTTCTCCCCGTTCAAAAATATTCAAACAGGCATGTTTGATTGCTTCCTGAGGAGTAATTGACTCCTTGGCGATGGCTCGCTTTCGAAGAGCATTAAGGTGACGCGCAGCACTTTCAGTGTCTTTTCTCTTCATAGCGAGTCTTTTAATTTCATCTTCGGCAATGAGATCATCTCTATCGAGATCTACAGTCCACTGATCAACCACTCGCGCTGAGTTATTTGAACTCTTATGGCTGAGCATTTTCTGCATCACCGAGGTCGTGCGAACTGACTGAGCTAAACGGTCAGCTTTGGGTTTCGAGTTCTTATTTGCGGCATTTTTGGTGTCCCAGCTATCACTCCTCGTTCGATCATGGTAGCCACCATTACCACCAAACATACTCATGCTAGATACAGAACTTTTTCTCCGTTTAAAATCAAGGTATGTTGTAGACTTGACAGAGAGACTTGGACTTGGGACCTTTCCACTACTGAGGTTAGTTACTGTGCTTGAGGTAGGTAAACGGGGCGGCGATGTGTTTTTGTGGTCTGGAAGCTTAAAAGATTTCTCTAATTCACGTTCACCGATAGCGTGACTGATGCTACTTTTCGAGTTATTTCTTTTCCATCCTCGGCTTATTCTTCTTCTCAATGAAGCTGATAAGGGTGTTTGAGGTTCTTCCGAACTTGAAATAGACACAGGTGGAGTCTCCCTTACATTGGCCTTGACACTCAAGTTAAGGACACGAGGACTATGGAACTTCTGAGATAGGGGCTGCTTTTCTATCCTTTTGGAAATCTTGGCATCTTCGGTGAGCTTTAAGTGTAGTGGTAGGGCTGGAATTTCAGTTTGCACAAGCGTGGACGAGGCTATTGATGGTGATGTGGTTCTAGTCGGTTCTAGTTGCTGTTCTTTAGTCCGTGAAGGATCAGATAGGCTTGCCTTAGGTACTGAGCGAATGAAATGGGCTGCACTGTTGCTTCGAGACTGGTTTTTGACTTTTGAAGACTTTTCGTCTATATCTTTATTCCTTGGAAAAGATGCCTTGGAGGCCGTCATTGGACTGCTCGGAGTGGCTGGCAACCGCTTTAATGCTTTATTTTTCTTTTCTTCCTCAATAACTGGCCCATCAGAAGCCTCAAATTTTATCGTCGTTGCAGTGCTCAGGGGACGAAGGTTGAATGGAGGTAGTCTAAGCGGTTGAAGCGTCTTCTTGAGAACAGGGCTAAAATCAGAGCTAGACTGAAAGTCAGGAAGCCTAGATCTCCTCGCATTTTTCTCTTTGAACCCTTTCGGTAGATCCCTTAAAGACGCTCGTCCTGTTGGATTCTCAGAAGTACTACTCATCAAACCTGACTCAAAGGGTAAACTAGATTTTCTCTTTGTGTACTGTGGGAGGTCAAGTGTATACGATTTTGGTGATTCATATGCCTTTGGAATTGCAGGGACAGGTGGAACGATTTCTTCGTCCTCCTGTTCATTCCCTAGAGAATTTTGCGAGTTTCGGGGTTTTGGAGTTGGCAATCGAGACGAAAAAGACAACTGAGATGAGCGAGTTTGCAAAGAAATCGCAGACTCTCTAGATGCATTGTAACTGTTTGCAGATGTATTGGATTGGCCGGAACTGTAGGATTTCCTGTTGATTTCAGGAGATGCACGAGGAGAAGAAGGCGTGTACGCTTTAGTTGGCAGCATAGATGGTGATTTGGAGTATCTCTTAGTTGTACCCGAGTCGGATTGTGGAGTTGGAGGAGTGTTTGATGACAATGGACCTTGAAGACATGAAAGTCTTTTAGCTCTTCTAGCGTCAGTTGGGCTTATGGTCCTTGCTCCGAGCCCAGTCAAATGTGACTGTGACAGCATACCTGGAATTACAGATAAACGCTTTCGTGAAGGCACTGAGGATACTTTTTCAGTGGGTCGGCAGTGGGGCTTTGTGGATATAAGCGAAACACGGTGGCTTTCAGAATTCTCAGAACCGGGCAAATTGGATTGCCTATTCTTTGATAGGGGCTGAAGTGATCTTATCCTGTCAACTCTAATAGCCGTCATACTACGGGTAGCGTCGTTCATCTGTGCGCCATCGGTCATGTTTGATGACACACTAATAGGGTCCGACTGATCTTTGGGATTTGAATTTCTACTAGGACGTCTCCTTCGTAGAGACTTGGTCAGATCTAGTTCTGGGGCACCAGTTCCATTCGAAGATTTACGAGGCTTCACAGTGGAGTTCAAACTTGCAGCTGTAGTGATATGTTGGCTTTGACGTCTGTTACGCGAGGCGAAAGGGACAGTAGAAGTTTCGTTTGGCCCAAGATCTTTTGGTATTACAGCTACTGAAATTCCTTGCTGAACAGGCGAATCTGGTCGCCGAAAGTTCGATGATGGTTTGGTCGTTTTTGAGCGAGAAGATCTTTGAGATACAGTCGAATTTTGCTGTACCTCTAGCATCACCATCTCTGAAGCTTCTCCTAATTTTTTGCACCCAGTGTTTTTGTGGACGGGATTTAAATGCTCTTTTCTCTGATGAGATATGGTGAAGTTTTTAGACGCAGACGCAATGCTACTCTGAAGAACATCAAAGCTTGGCGAGGGCAAAAATTCTGTAGATTCACTAGTAGTATCATCATCTTTATATTCGCCGAACGGATTAGACGTGAATTGGGCGTGACTGGCACTCATCGTATTTTTATGGTCTTGACTGAGGGCAACATGATTCTTATAGGCACTGGGATTATTGTTTTCTTGCCTGAAATAGGTTAAGTGAGAGAAAAGTCATTGAAATTGAGAACGACATACCTCTTGGAGGGTGGAAGATCCCGCCGAGTGGCTGTGAGTGATTTTTGTTCCCGAATCATTGGGATACAAATTGCAGCGCTAGCAAAGAGCCAACGGGACGTTATTAAAGCTATCTCATTGTCAAGGGAAAGCTGCTGGTTCGCCGCAGGATTGTTCGATAGGTTTCCTACCAATCAATCAAGCTTGGTACTAAAGTTGAGACTATTTACAGGCGCTGGAGCGGAAAGGAAAGGATAAGAATTTAGTCGATGTTGCTGCGTCGCGGTGTCTCTCCGTCACTTGTGGGGTTCGAAGTAAAAGGCTAGTCATCAGACGAAACCGATGCGACAGAGGAGGCTTGACTAGATTGAAAATATGAGCAAGGGAACTCGCTGCAAGCGAGCTGGAATAGAATAAGCGAATCAGAGTTGAGACACATCACTACCTTAGTAATTCCGATTGTAAGACTCCTTCACCGCACATATAGAAGTGTGCACGATAAAATTAATGGATACTAGAAGTGAATCCGCTGTATACTCCTCGATTGATAGTCTCTTGCAGGTTTCAGGGTTATGCAACGAGAGAATAAAACTTGCTACAAGTCGGCTCGCTACATTTCAGTTCTGGAAATGACTGTAAACATATCACCTATGTGAAATAGAACTGCAACCAAAGGTTCCAGAAGTAACTACAGAAAAAATACTGTCCCGATACTACCATCATTTTGATGTGAGTGCATTAAGCTGTATCACATCATTGTTTTTTGACTGATGCTAATTTGGCCGGTATGTTCTTCTCTACAGCTTTAGAGTTATTCCTAGTAATTTTATCGACCAGAATTTTATCTAAATTATTTACTACTGATTCAATTGAATCTCCATTTCCGCTCTCTTTGCCCTCTGTGCTTGCCTGTGTGTGCTATCAATGATCAAGAATTCGAATTCTATCATTAGAAATACAATTCCCCTTTCTAATCATATTCAAGTTACTGAATCTGAGATAGTTTTACGAATTATTCATGAAATATCATGTTTGACAGAAATAATCTGACGCTGTTAGAATGATTGATGACAATATCGATGCCAGATGGTTGAAATACCAATAGTATCAGCCGAAGAATGGATAAGGTATGGAAAAGGAGGGTCGGTGATGTTTTTGGATCATGAATACGTCGATTCCAATTATGGTGGTCTACATAGGCTCCAACGTTGAAGGATATCTTTGGTACCCGCAAGAGCGATAAGTTGTATCACGTTCTGGTAATTTATGCACATGGTTTACTTGTTGCATTACTAATGACTTCCATGCGCAAATCTTCAGAGAATCAGCTCCACTTTGCACTACTAACTGATAGCCAGTAAACATGTACTAGAGTGTCAGGCCATATTTGGCTAGCAGCTTGGCGCCTCTTTATCATCTAGTGCACAGACTTATTAGCAGAGGTCTGTCAATGGTATCCCTGTCTTGTAATGGACTGCGCATAGTAGATTTCTACAAGGCAGTGCAGCAGGGATATCGCGTGTAGTGAAACAATTTGCTGAATTTGGTAATTATTGTCTATTTTCATTCTGACCATATGAGACGTAAAATTCCAATTTATCTACAGCCTAAATATATCCATATGCACATGGTGCAGCTTCTTATTTATACTCGATATAGATTCCATGCAACTGCGCTAACCCTCCACATTCTCCACTTGAACAAGCGCATGGATCAGACTTCTGCCTTCCAATATCACCTTTTAAAATACGTTTATAGTATGGATTGTGAGGCTTCCCCCCTCTGAAAGCTTTAAATTTATAGATTCAGGGGCTGCTCCTGCATTAAATTATATTGTACAATGAGTTAATGGACAGATTCTGTAAGAAAAACCAGGCATTCGTTTATAAATATTTAATTCGCTCCACCATGAAGTTCACTAGTTGAATTTGATTGCATCCTACTATCAGGGGAAATTACATGTCGTTGTTTCGTGTCTTTCGTCCTATTGAATCTAAAGCTCTAGTGGGACATGCAGGTTACTTCTATCCTCAGGCCTGTACAATTATAAGTCCTAGCCTGATCTAACTTGATGATTCTGGTTGATACTTTTATTCGTGCTAAGCTACTAGATATTTGTCACCCCTGTTCTCTCATGAGTCGTGACCGGGCGGATACCGGTTACTTCCCCGACCGTTTTCATCAAAGTCTAATTGGTACATTTATGGATCCTGAAAAGATCTACAGAGTCACGGACTGATCGGATTTTGGATGCACGGCACGTTTACAAACTGCCAATACCTTATGATCCTACACGTTCAGATCACACAATCTCGAGAGCAGATCTCCTTGGAGTTGAGGGTCGATAAAGGATCAATTTGTAAAAGCGCATAGATATCTTAAATCTAGAGGATGTAGAACTCAAGTATCAGTCTCAAGCTCCACACAGTATCCGTTGTAGTTATGAGTAACGAGAAGCAACGTGACAACATTTCATTTTAACACCCGCCCTCCACAATTTACTAGGTACACAACGCGCGCTCGGAAACCTCACATTAGTGGCTACTTTAAGTAGCTGGTAGTATTTCCTGATGCTACTCCCAAATATTTTATGCAGGGACTAACAATCCATCTCCATATGCATGCCATACAGAGTATAATCTCATAGCCTTATTCATATATTTCTTGGCCATCCAGCATGAAGCCTTCCCAACAGCTGTTGTCTGCAGAAGCCGTATTTTAGATAGGATATTTTTTTAACAAAGGCGCGAAAAAACGCGGCTCTAGTAAAGCTTCTGCTAGGATCCTTCAGGCTATCATGTCACGATAACACAATTCTTACGTACTGTAATGATGCATTAGTTGCATCATTGTATCACTCAGCGTGGAGCAAAGATCTACCTCTTCCTAGCCGCGTCTATCCGGTCAGAAGGGGCCTGGATAAACCTTGATCTGACCTGATCCGTGCTAATCAGCAAACCCACTAATGTTGATAAATGATTCCACCTTTCTCTCCCTACTCGAGGAACAAGGTCGAGATAATGGATGACAAAGACTGAACGCCTTTACACGTTGTCCTCTACGAACCTAAGAGTGAAGTGGTGTTCTCCGGTATAGTTTGAGTAGCCTGGACACATACTCCACTTGGAAAGGAGATGCCTACACCACATTTCGCGCGGAGAAAAGTAAATGGACGATGGAGGCATGTCTGGATAACTCAGGATTTTTCAGACGTTCCCCTGGGTGAATATTCTCGGATGACAGTTGACTTGGGGTGAAAGAAAAGCCACCATAACTTCGCAGTGGTACTTGCAAATGAAATCTGAGGCACGAGTGCTCTTCTCGTACGTTGAATCATCTATTTTATACTTTTATTTGATATTGTGTCATAGCTACATAGCTGCATACGTGATAAAAATCTGATGCCAAAAGAAGCTGAGAGTGAAAAACAATCCTGAAGCGAAGTTCTGTCAAATTGCGCAATACTAAAACATGCGGCCCACGACTCAATAATTCAAATTGTATGCCGATGCCGGCAAAGACGAATTCTACACCTTCTTTTGGTGCCGGTGTAATCGCTCAGTATGCTCTGCATATCTAGGATAGCCAAGAAGAATCGAATCCGAATCGAAGTCGAAAGCAATCTCAAACACGTCTCCGTTTGACGACTTCTCGACTATGCCTCTCTTACCATTCTCATCTGAGTCCTCAATCTCTTTCTAAGCACGCATCATCTCGCCTCAACGACCCATAAAGAGGTTTCTCCAATTGCAAACAGGAGCTTGCCCCATTAATTTCCAGCCATCTCTCACTACAAATTTACGACGCTATTTATATTCGCAAGGAGGAAATCAAGTCGAAAAATACAAAGCCTGGGCCTTTGCTTGTGCGGGACTGTTGCTTTAATGGGACAAACAACTTGAGGGGGCACAGACGCCTGAGACGTGGAGCGAAAAGGGGAACAGGTCTCTGAAGATCATGCTGGGACTAATAATAATAAGGAGTCTCCAACTCTGGATTTTTTGTGGGCGCCAAGACCAAGATTTCGTTAAGCTATTCTGGAGGGCTTCTTTTGTCGATGAGTCAACGGCACTCCCCAGCGCCCTGGACGGCACAAAAGAAGTTAGGCTAAGATACCATCCAGCAATCACGCTCTGGCAAGACTTTTTTGACATTTCAGCACGACCTTCGGGAAGCAGCCGGAGGGAGGCCAGAAAGGCAGAGGGTGAATTCCCCGAGATACACACAAGTCTACAGCGTCCAGCTGGCCTGCCTCTCCGAACGCTTAAGAAGGGTCACTATATCTTCGGATCTAGTTCCAATATTGGTACTTAAAGAGGCCCACACTCAGTGGTTTTTGCGATTTTTCCCGGCTGCCATACACCCGTAAATGGTAATCGTTTCGTTGGCTGGAGAGGGGAGATAATGAAGAGCTAAGGGCTCATCTAAGTGTATGATCGAATGAGGACTTGTGAGGGGTGGAAGTGTGTGAGGGGAGCTGTATGGGAGATATCAGATGGGATGTAACAATGGCACAGGTATCTTTGGCCTGTAGGCAGAGAGGACCTGCATGTCCCACATAGCAATAGACTGAGACAGGACAATAAAATGAATTAATTTTATGCAAAACTTACCTTCAGGGATCGGATCAGATATTGTACCAACGCGTCATTCAGTCAAAGTAGTCATTATTATGTCACCTTCACTATCCCTCTCGAGGTTTTGTCGCACATGATTCTCTTCAAATTATAAATTGTGCGTATGTTTACTGTACTACATGAGTCAAAGACAATTTAGCACATTAGGCTCCTCTTTGGCCCAGGCCTCTCATTGTACAGTGCTTCTATCCACTTTGTTACTTGTAAGATCATTGATATATTGCTCTTGCTGAATAGCCATTCATCTCATTATTTACCCATAGAATCGGCTATTTTTTTCACGGAACCTTTTACTCAAAAAAATAAAAATGTTAGCATAGGAGACTGCGTGCGCGGGAAAAAGTCTCAAAAATCCTTCGGGCCCAGGGAGGCGAGGCCCAGATACCAGGACCACATGAGGTGCGCATATTCATCTGTATCTCCCTTCTTTGTAACGTTCGGGGCCATTTTTATCCAATCCACCATCCCCGTATCGCGTGCTAGGTATGCTTCGGAAACTCATCGAATGGCTTTTCCTCCATGATCAAGGGTTGTTGATGAGTAGGGCTCTGACCCTACCATCTGATCTGATAGTAGTTAGCTTCGTGATAATGGTAATAGGGAAATGTGCTTAGGAATGAAGACGATACAGACTGCGAAAGAGATTGGGAGTCCTCATCGAAGTGAGGACTTTGTTACTCAATCACGGCTATACAGACCTTACAATGAGAGCTCAAGTTTCGTGGGGAAAACTACTGGCAGGTGTTGAGAATAGTCCTTCTTTTGAGGGTGTAGCCTGGTTAGGGGACAGGTCTAATATCCCATGTGGTACTTGGCTTATGTTGTCAAAAAATTCGAGAAACCAATCATTGTGGGCGTTCACTCGTCGTGAATTATGGGGACTATCATTGGTTATGGTCGTAGTCTGTCCTACAGATCCTTGAATCTCAAGATAATAAGATTGATGCTCGGCACGAACTCCAAATGAAACAATACGCGACTGATTCTTTGCGTTTTGACGATTACAAAATACTCGAAACATAACAGTCTATCACACAGTTGATTCCCAGTCATCATTCTCAGCGATAACAATCAGAGTGCCCCTGGAGAATCGAGAAAACATCTAAATGCCTTATAATTTAGTTCTTGATCAATCATCACCACTGTCTGACTGTAACTCGACGTCAGTACTTCCTGAAATATGGTACAGCCCAGGTTACATGGAATGTCTACTCAGCTTTGTTTATTCAAGCGAGATTCTTAAGCAGAATGGGTATGTTGTTGAACCGTTGACGGAAACCGAGCTCGAGAGAAAGATCAAGTGCGATCGCTGTTTCAAATGCAAGTTCACAACATTAAGTAGCTTGCAACTATTAACAGCATCTAGTAGTTAATAATACCAAAAAAAATGTAGATACTGCCGAAGGGAAGTTAAAGGAATGTAAAAAAGATATAAACATTCATGATTTGGCCGCACTTAGACTCGAGGAATCGGGCGATACAACTTCAGTTATTCGAGGAATAAATGGAAATTTCGAGAAACCAAGTCGAACTAATCACGACAAAGTAGTGCGAGGACAGGAAATTAATCAACCTCAAGTAACCTTGAAATGCAGATTCCACGATGGTGTCATTCAAAGACAGGTATTTTGATTTTCCGTGACCTCACAGCCGAAATAAATCATTCCGAGTTGGTGTTCTTTACTAAAATAGTAGGCAGCGTTGGACCTGCTGTTACAAGTATCAGTTTAGTGACGGTTGTCAATCTAAAAAGGATCACAACGCTCCCGACCATGTAGATGAAAAGCTCCGGAAGCAGTGGAACTACGTTCGTACCCCCACTGTTGTGAAGCAAGCAATTCCGAAAGCTGCTGTAGCTATCGACTGTGAGATGGGCGGCACTTCAACAAGAGAAAGTGTTGTAATCCGTGTAACTATGATTGACTATTTTACATCGGAAGTCTTGGTTGATGAACTGGTCTATCCAGATACACGGATAGTAGATTACCGAACGCGATTCTCGGGTGTCACAAGAGCACAAATGGAAAACGCAGTCCGGAAACGAAAGTGCCTGTTTGGCTTAGAAGCAGCACGGAAGGCAATTTGGAAGCATGTCGGCCCCAGCACTATCATTGTCGGACACTCGCTCAACAATGACTTAACAGCCTTGCGGTGGATTCATCCCCTAGTATTGGACACGATGTTAATAGATAACCTTATCCTCAAAGAAGCGCAAAAAATAGCTCAAGAGATCGAGCAAGACTCACAAGTAAAGATAATTCAGTCTGAGCCTGTCGTGGTTAATAATGTAGCTGGGACTGAAGAAAAAAAGAAAAAGAAAGTCAAGGGCTCAGGAGTCCTTTCTCTAAAGACTATGACAAGGGAGAGATTAGGGCGTGACATTCAGAACCAAAATTCTGGTCATGATAGTTTAGAAGATGCCATTGCCACAAGGGACATAGCTCACTGGAATGTAGTTGTCAGGGGAGACATACCGATTGATCTATTTGATTATCCTCTTCCATAGTTTTAAAGCTTCACAGGATACTTCAATACACCTAACATTCTTCTATAGATGACGATAACATGTGGGATACCAGAAACAAAGCCACTGCAATGAATTATCATTTGCTTTGCAACAATTACTCCTATAGTCAAGTATGCCACGGTATAGAATCTAAAGTTTCTGGGTAGGACATAGGGTAAGATATGCCTCAGAGGGTATGAATTCATCTAGGACGTGAGCGCCGGGAAACTAGTATCGTAATCTTAAACAACTAAGTGTGTGTTTGTTTTTATTGTACTACTTGAGTCTATGACTATCTAGCACATTGGGCTCCTCTCTGACCCAGGCCACACCTTGTACAGTGCTCCTTGCCTCTCATGTTAACTGAAACATCATTGATATATTCCCCTTGATGAATAGCCATTCAGCTCAGTATTTACCCGTGGAATTCGGCCACCTTTTCCACGGAACCTACTACCCAAAAAAATAAAAATGATAACAATGGAAACTGCGTGCGCGGGAAAAAGTCTCAGAAAACCTGCAACTCCAGCCAGGCGAGGCCTAGACACCGGGACCACATGAGGTGCGCATATTCATCTGTATCTCCCTTCTTTGTAACATTCGTGGCCGACTTGATCCAATTCCGCCATCTCTGTATCGGGTGCTGGGTACTCTCCGGAAACTCATCGGATGGCTTTTCCTCCATGATCAAAGGTTGTTGATGAGTAGGGCTCCGACCCTATCATCTAATCTGATCGTGATTAGCTTCGTGATAATAGTGATAGGGGAATTTGTTGAGAGATGAAGACGATACAGACCGCAAAAGCGACTAGGAATCCTCATCGAAGTGAGGACTTTTTTGCTCAATCTCGGCTCTGCAGACTCTACAGTGAGAACTGGAGGTTCGTAGGGGACACCAATGACAGGTGTTGAGAATAGACCCCTTAAACAACTAAGTGATTGCATTTGAGAATATCAAGTACCTGATTTCAAGCACAGATTCAGAGTTTCGACCTTCTAAATACCGTCTCGAGGAAAAATTAAGGTGACTTAAGCTTCTAGCATGATGACCAGTTCATTTAGAGGAGAGACGAGATAATCGAGTAACTTAGTAGTATTGTCACTCATGTACGGATTCTCAGAAGATCCAGGGGACTGGCCTTATGATTGGATGGTCTCAGACTGTTGGTACAATGCGGTTTACGTGCGTAAATAAAAGGTCATAAAGTTGATTCAATAAAACGATACAACAACATTCACATTTATTTCATTCTATCTAATTGTTCCAAAAATCTTCGTGTCATGTAAGAATGCGCAGAGAATATTACGTAAGCTGCACAACTGTTACAAATTGATAAAACATATTTCACAGTGTGAGGAGTATGGGGCCGAAAGACGCATTGGTATACCACACGGGTCGTCACTCTTGTAGTTGACGGGTATTTATATTATGACTAAGTAATTTTATTGTCCTGTCTCAGTCTATTGCTGTGTAGGACATGCAGGTCCTCTCTGCCTACAGGCCAAAGATACCTGTGCCATTGTTACATCCCATCTGATATCTCCCATACAGCTCCCCTCACACACTTCCACCCCTCACAAGTCCTCATTCGATCATACACTTAGATGAGCCCTTAGCTCTTCATTATCTCCCCTCTCCAGCCAACGAAACGATTACCATTTACGGGTGTGTGGCAGCCGGGAAAAATCGCAAAAACCACTGAGTGTGGGCCTCTTTAAGTACCAATATTGGAACTAGATCCGAAGATATAGTGACCCTTCTTAAGCGTTCGGAGAGGCAGGCCAGCTGGACGCTGTAGACTTGTGTGTATCTCGGGGAATTCACCCTCTGCCTTTCTGGCCTCCCTCCGGCTGCTTCCCGAAGGTCGTGCTGAAATGTCAAAAAAGTCTTGCCAGAGCGTGATTGCTGGATGGTATCTTAGCCTAACTTCTTTTGTGCCGTCCAGGGCGCTGGGGAGTGCCGTTGACTCATCGACAAAAGAAGCCCTCCAGAATAGCTTAACGAAATCTTGGTCTTGGCGCCCACAAAAAATCCAGAGTTGGAGACTCCTTATTATTATTAGTCCCAGCATGATCTTCAGAGACCTGTTCCCCTTTTCGCTCCACGTCTCAGGCGTCTGTGCCCCCTCAAGTTGTTTGTCCCATTAAAGCAACAGTCCCGCACAAGCAAAGGCCCAGGCTTTGTATTTTTCGACTTGATTTCCTCCTTGCGAATATAAATAGCGTCGTAAATTTGTAGTGAGAGATGGCTGGAAATTAATGGGGCAAGCTCCTATTTGCAATTGGAGAAACCTCTTTATGGGTCGTTGAGGCGAGATGATGCGTGCTTAGAAAGAGATTGAGGACTCAGATGAGAATGGTAAGAGAGGCATAGTCGAGAAGTCGTCAAACGGAGACGTGTTTGAGATTGCTTTCGACTTCGATTCGGATTCGATTCTTCTTGGCTATCCTAGATATGCAGAGCATACTGAGCGATTACACCGGCACCAAAAGAAGGTGTAGAATTCGTCTTTGCCGGCTAGATGCTAGGTAGTTTGAACACCTATCCTATTTGGGACAGGAGAAGACTAGAAAAAAATGGACTTTATTATAGTCTCCTCTGCGACGAAGACTACGAAGGACTCGATACGGGAGAAAGCTGGATTGAAACCAGTATAACCGACACGCTACACTCTCTCGTGGTGACATTGTATTTGTGGGATGATGAAAGCATACTCGGATAGCAACAGGTTATTAACTCTTTTCCCTTTGGTGGGTATGCACGGAAGAGGTTATACGCCGCAAGGGTCAACCTCGAGTGGTATCTGCAAGTGAAATATGAGTGTAAGTGTTCTAAACGTCAAATTGAGTCATCCTACTCAAAGTACACATCTTCCGATAAAAGCCTGCATGGGCCTCAAGGCGCCAAGTCAGAAAAATTGAACAATTCATTTGAATCTGATTTCATTTAACCCGATTTAGCGCCCTGTGGGCCCATGCAGGCGGATATGAACTTATCTATATATATATGAGGAGGAAACCTTGCGGTAAAAACCCCCTCCCCCAATTAAATTTTATATTCCTCTAGTGTCCTTCGTTACCTATAGGAAGTGCAATTGGCCATCAGTCCGAGACAGGACAAGCTAAAATTATACTGGGCCTCGCCATCCTTTCCCTGCCATCGCGTGCTGAAAAGTGATGACTATGGCCTTGAGTTTGACCCTGATGGTCCAAATACTTGTGGTGGTGGGTTGACCAGGAGCTGTTTGCGCGGGCGTCCTGGCCCTCTCTTTAATACCTCCGGCTTTCCGTAGGACACCAGTGTGAACCCTTGTTCGTCTGTAGGTTTTGCCGTAGTAGATGTTGTAGATGCCGTTATTACTGTATCTCCTTTCCTGAATTCCGCCGTTCTCTCCATGAGTTTATACCGTGCTCGTTGCAAGCTTGCCTTGTATTACGCTAAGTTTTGACACGCCCCCTTCTGCCACGATTTATGGTCTTTGCCGCAGTTCAGCAAAACACTGACTTCCTCGGGCAGTCCCTGGTCTGATGAGTGCCCGCGCACTCACCACATCTCCTTGCCTTATTGCATGAGGCTTGGGTATGCCCCCATTGACAGCAGTTGAAGCACTGCTTGATTTGCGCTTGGGGTGAACAGAGATGGGCCGTGTACAGCATTGAGGTGTATAAAATGCCGTTTCTTATCACTTCGCGTTGAAGTGCCTCGATAGGCAAACTCGCGACGATTGATCCTCGAGTATGGCCGTTAACTCCCATCCATCGGTGCTCCTTTCCGTCAAATAGCCATCTCACCCTGTTGATTTTTAATTCGGGGTTCCGAATTTTTGTTTCTGCCTCAACTTGGTTTATAAACTCGCCGTTATTAGGATTTTTTCCTCCTCTTATAAATGTCCCCAATGAGATCCCCAAAATCTCAACAGGATAATCCTGCTTTAGGACGCAGAACTCCTTTGGCTGCCCCATACCCAAGGCAGCGTCTCGCTGGGAGATCGACTGCACAAACACCTCCGTATCATTGCTCCGCGGCTTCCTTACTGCATATGCCCCCTCGATCTATATTTTAGCCTTGTCTAGGAGCGCTACCGGCTCCATATCTTCTGCTTCTTATATCCGTATTCGTATTGCCGCTTTAGTTGCTGGCGGCGCGACGATTGAGGCGTATGTGGGTCGCCCTCTCATCCCTTGTACTGCCGAAGCAGCCGTCATGCGCGACGGCTCCTCGAGGTTCTTCGTGACTGCCTTCTCTAAGGCCAGCATCCGTTCTTCCATTCTTGAGGCCTTCAGCTCCGATGGTAACATCGTAGCGTGGGCTTTGAAGGGATCAAGTGCCTCACCTACTTCGACCATCGGTGTCGCAGATTTTTCGGTGCCTGCTATCACCAGTCTGTTTCTGACCTTTTTTAAAAAAAGCCCTACTGTCTTTAGGGTATCCATGTTGACGACTGTAGAGGTCGCGAGAGACTCTACAGCTGTAATTGCGGCCGCTCCGCCATCCGTTGGTGATTGTTGTGGTGCCGTGAAATTCTTTTCAACAGCGAAATCCACCTTTCTGGCTCCCCATCTCGCCATGCCGAAACGCAACGAAAAAAATTCAGGGAATCAGGTAAGTGTGATTGAGTAAGAAGAATGCAATAATAAAAACGATGAAATAACATTCCTGGAACGTGTTGCCGCATTTTGTGAAAAATGATTTTTCTTCTTATTTCTGAATAATTTATTTATCTTTCACTAGAGTGCAAATGACTACTGTTCCAACACAGTGAAGCACACATCCCACATCGCATCATTCATTACCTTTTTTTTACAAGAGTTTACAACCGGTGTAATAGCCCCAGTTGTTGCATCGTCATCGACAACACCCTCCAATTTAGAAGGGCAACTCTACTCAAGCCTGCTTGGCATTGTGAATACAATGCAAAAAGCAGAACAACAAAGAAAAGAAAGGTTGGGTATAGCCCAGGAATTTCTTAAACCAATCGACTCCTGGGCTAAGAGCAAAG